AAATTTGTTATTCGAACGTTTAGGATTTTCTCAATTACTTTTACAAAGTTTGCGGTTAACGCAATGGGCCCAATGTTGTCTGAAACGTACCCTTTACCCATAACTTTCGGTATTGACATCACCTGTGCTATTTTTCACTCCAATAGGAGCCATGCCACTCTTAAAGCATAGTTGATTATATTCAATAGGTACTCTTGGCACTCTTTATGCATCATTTTCAACATGAACGACGTAACCCGTCAGTGCCCGGAGCCGCTGGTGGCAAGTTAGCTAACACCTGCGACAATTCATACCTGGAAACTTCTGTGAAGTCCTCGTCTCTTAGCGCATATGAAGGAGGTGGTGATAGTTGGCTGGAAAAACGTTGCTGCAGTCCCTTACCAATTACTTCTATTGAAGCTTTCATTTCTTCGGTCGACAATATGATAGAGTCAGCATTTATAGACTGCGGAATCAATTTCTTTTCACATATCTAAATAACGCCTTTTCACTCTTGTATTTAGAAAGATAATCGAGTTTCCGCCTTTCGTAATCTTCTTTTGGATTGGCAACTGTACGTTTAACAACGCCTGCAACAAACTGGTAGTCTTTCCAATTTTCAGGGAACTGATTGTACGAAAGCTTTTTCCATGCTGCCTTCCTGCGTCTATAGTCCCTCGAGCAATCGTCATTCCACCAAGGAGAATTCGAGTTATGAGTAGCTGACGACATCACAAGTTCAGATTTCTCACGGTAATTCTTTAATAAAGAATATAAGCTCTGAGTCTTTGGCATCGAGCTATTATATGACAACGAAGACAGTGAAGAAAGGAAGGAATCCTTAAATTTTGAGTAGTTAATATGCGTACGAGTAATTGAGATTGATGAGGCTATCTGAATTTCTATTTCGAAAGTTATCGGTAAGTGGTCGCTGTTTGTTGCGCAATCAACGACTGACCAAGATGAAACATTAAGGTTGGAGCTTGTAAAAGTTAAATCTAACGCTGAAGAAGTATGACTGCATATGTATGTTCGGCTTCCCGAATTCCGACATGAAAAACGATTATCTTGTGCCCAATGCCACAACCGTCTGCCACACGTATCAGTTTTTACTTCCCATGTAGTATGGTGGGAGTCGAAATTACTTGCTAGTAAAATATTTTCTCCGCGCGTGGTTAATAAAGTATCTAATGTCCGATTGTGATGTACGCCTGGAGGGAAGTAAGCATTTACTACCGACAAAACCTGCCCGGTCGGGGGAGTTACACTTACAACTAATATTTCGTATGCCGGGGAAAGGAACTTTAACATCAGTTTGGCTTTGTGACGATGTTTGTTCGAAATCGTTGTCACTACTCCGCCAGCTCTCGTAGGAAGGTCTAGTCTGAACAAACGGTAATTCTTAAAATGAATATGAGGAGCAATCCATAATTCTTGAATTAGGATTAAATGGGGATTCAGTTTATCACACAGGAATTGTAAATCAGTATAGCAGCAAATAGAGAATGACAATTTCACTGCAGAACTCTCAGGGACGCTATTTTGGTGTAAGAATTGCTGCGGAGATAACTTTCTCCAAAATACTTTCTTAAGTATTTTACTAGACGGAGTTTTTTTAGGATTTGACAGAAGGGAACTTGAAACGTCATGGTTTAACGGGGACAGGCTGCGTTTCTGTGGCTGAGCATCAAGCTCTACATCAGTTGACACATTTAGGTCAAACAATTGTTCTCGTTCAACGTTTCTCATGCTCTCAGAGGTGCCCTAGATATTATTCGCGTTATTCACCTCATCATTACATACTGCAGTAGCATGACTGGCAGTCGGTATTTTATTGAGCTCAGGGTTACCCAAAGTAATTGGAATCAACAACTTAGTAATTTGATTACTGAAAACTTGTGCTAAGCATTCGGAGATGCTAGCTACCAATTGGTTCATAACTGTAGCCATATCTCTTCCTACCGCTACCTCAACTACCTGCGCGATATTAGTATCCTGCCATGAATGACGTGCTGTAACGCCATCATTGCAATGGGCTCTCTCCTTAACAGCTGCAATGGCTTCCTTTCTAGAGCATCTCCTTCTGTCTTGGATTTCTAGGATTTGTACTTCTTCATGGCGCATAGGACACTCGGCGAAATCAGCTGCGTGATGTCCACCGCGCAAGCAACACAAGTCATCTTGGCCCTTACAATCTCGATCTCAGTGGCGTTCACCCCATCTACGACATCGACACTCCGATTTGCAGCCTCGAGAGCTATGTCCAAACCTGCAGCAGTTCTGACATTGCAAGGGCGGGACATTAACTGATCTACTCTAAATACTATTGACCATGCTTTAATTTCTGAAGGGCGGGACGTACCTGCCAAAGTCGCAATCACTGGCTCTGTGGGATGTCGTTTGTTGTTAACCAGTCGATTTCACCGGTAAACTGCCATCACACCTGCCACCGACAGCTTCTCTAGCGTCTGCGCGGGGCTTCGTTGTGCGTCAACCTCTCGCACAGTGCCTTTAGTGCATGCGAGATGATGTGGTATATACGCACCTACCAAGATTGAAGGAAAGTAATAACACTTAAGAATATCCTTTGCACATTGATGATCTGGTGTTCGACATAGAATGCCACCGTGACCAAACTGCCGCTTGGCTGTTATGCGCTGGTATTTTGGGGTCACGGCATGGAGATGTTCTTGTGTCGCCTTAGAGTTATTCAGCTTAATGAAATTTCCACCAAAAGGTACCAGAGTGACGGGAATATTGCTCACGCCACTGTGGAGAAACAAGTCAAGAGGTGAGTCATCATTGCGTAGCGAGGCCGTCCAGAGGGAACGATCCTGACCCGGGGAATTCCTCGTCATCAGTACAGCCTCAAGACTAGATCAAGAAAATAAAAATCGTCCTGCACGAAATAATGAAAAACACACAAAGTACTAGGCAAAAAATAAAACCTATCCCGTACTTAGCCACTCGACCAGCACCGAGAACCGGCTAACCAGATCGAACGCCACTTGCAGACCAGTCGTGGCTCATCAGACTCAGCAAAAAGTCAGCCACGTCTTTTTCGTCCTTGTTTTGAGCAAATGTTCTCGCCCTCCTGCTTTTTCCTCGCTACTGGAACATACGCGCATCAATACGTAAGTGCTAGGTGTGTTTCTATACTAGTAAATGCACAGATACGCAGTTTTAAAGGTCCTAGTGTTTCTTACGCTGCGCTGACAATGCTAAGCTCTGCTCGAAAAAGTGGGTGTTTTCTACGTTTTGCTATGACGATACTGTGCCAGTATCAACCGGTGACTCTGCGTTCTACACAAGCTTTAGTTTGCCGACATTACTGGCAGGTGGCGTTTATGAGTCACGCAATGCCTTCACACATTTTTTCATGACATTACCGCCAAAGCACGCCGATACGCGATGGTTTTATTATTTGGCTGAACTTGTGGACAGGAAAATTAAAATATAGAACTACAGATAGCAATGCGCAATGTACATTGATATATGTGAACAGAGCTTCCGTCACCGCTAAACTTAACTGAGGCAAGGTGCTTCGGCATTACACATGTGGCAGCGAACATTCGAGCATTATCACTGGGTGCCACGTTTGTTCCAGAATTTATTCTGCTGTCTGTGTTCAAGCCTATCAGATACTCTAATAATCTGGAACGTTTTCAGGCGTTCTGGTGCGGTTTGCGTTAGGCTTTATCTACGCATGCGATAGGCCGGTGACGTGAAACATAGAAAGGGACGTTTGTGCCAATATGTCTCTACCATATTTATAGATATCTTTAGCCTAATTTCGTAAAGTTTCGCTGAGTAAAACATCAAGCCAAAGTCGCCTTCCCTCCGCATGCTTCTAACAATGGTAATTTCATTGGTACGTGAGTTCTACCAAATTTCTTTCTTCATTATAAAGACTTCATTTTTCTCGTGTGCATTACGCCTTCTAGTATCATCTCAGTATTCTCGGCAAATTGATTTCTTCTCACCTGTACAAAGCTAGCCTGTCCACCTTTTATCAAGCAACTTCAAGCTCTCGATGCGTATTTCTCATCACTCATGAGTTCCTAAGATGCCACGTTTGCAAGCGCTCCATCCAAATAATTAGGAACGCACAAAAATGTTCAAGAAAATTTTCGTAAGTAAAAGGCTTTGAGGGATCTTCAATCAACTTCAACCTTTTTACCTCTAAATCTATAGCCCTATAATAAAGCAAATGAAGGTCCTTTCCGCAAATTTAAGTAAGTGCTGATACATAGGCAGAAAACCAAAGAAATGTAGTTTTATAACTCTCCACAAATTGTTTTGCTCGCGTCTATACAAAGATAGCCACTTGTCGCAACTCATTGTCAGACGTTTCACGTATGTGCACGTAAAACGTTATAAAGTGCATAAGAATTTTGTAACGCCATTCGCGTGGCACATCAGTATGAATGAAACGTTTGTGAGCGTGTACTTTTTCCGAGCATGTGTGTTCCATGCGTTATTCAGTCCTTTTTTCGCCATGGCAACCGCTAGATGGCGATCCAGATGAGTGAATAGTAGTAACATCGTTGGACATATAAAGTGCGTGAGAGCGGTCTGGTACGTATATTGAAAATACCGTGTGCTCTATCAGCTTGCTATTGGATTCAGTTAGAACATTCATCGAGAACATTTCCACAATGTACAGGTCTGAGAACCTTTATACTCAAGGCCTCCTGGGCGCTGCCATAGACCTCTCTGGTCTGTGTGAAGTGCGCATGACTTCCCAAAAATTCACAGCCAAGGTTGTGACGTCGGCTTTCTACTCTCGTGCAACAGCCCAAAAAGCAGAAAATCCTGCTCTCCAAAAAAAAAGGTCCATAAGAACAATGAATGCTGCCTACAGCATAATATATGTCTGTTTATATGAGAACAGTATTAGTATTTCACTGCTATTTTATCTTTCGTATGTCATTCTTCATTTAGGAGCTTGACTGTTTGCCGATTGATTTTCAAAGAATTGTGAGCATAGAAAGAGTGAACCATTGTTGCGCATATCATCTGCTCTACGCAATTTCAACGTCAGTGTGCTTCGAGTGCTCTATGGAATTATTGTGCCAAGCATGCATTCTTCCAGGAAGAAAATGGAAAAGATATTTTCTATCATCCTGCTCCTCACTTGTTGCACTCAGCTAGAATGCAAGTTCCCCTTGATAAAAAAGACTTACGACATTGAAAAGGTACTATATCCAAGTTTTTTTTTCAATCACAACTCTAGCACCACAAGTAAGCACTGCATTGTATTTACTATTATTTTTATTAAATAAGCATGTCCAGCAACATTTGCAAATTTTAAAGGGTTTGTATGGCCCAAGAAGCACTCTGACTGATTAAACCCACTGCTGATTTAGGCGGCGTTTTGAAATACGAACATTAAGAGTGATACAACGGCTGAAATTCTTTGCAATTTGCTCTCGAGGTTATGATAGACTTTAGGCTGATTTTTCACCGCAAGAATTTCAAGAAGTTTCAATGTACTTCTTTCTTTACTTGTATGCATATGCGCTGCTTTTTATATGAGTTCTCATTGACGTGAGAAGCTGGCTCGGTCGCGATGTATTATTTTAAATATCACCAGGAGTTCAATTATCACCTGAAAATTCTAGCGTGACAGCTTTATCGCTCCCGGAGCAATCCAAAAACCAAAGCATGCTTCATGTGGCGCGTTATGAATTTCGCGAACAGTGGGAGAAAATACAAAAAAAGTTAATTTCAAAGTTTGCAATTGCGTTGAGTTTTTTTTTGGCAAGCAGGAATGCATTGTGCATGAAGTTTTGCATGATTCATGTTCTTTGTGCTCTATGCAGCCTGTTCCGAGCTGCATGCAAATCGTTTATCCACTCTGACTATAACATACCTGACCAAGGAATAGCATTCTATGAGGAACATTGGAATACATGTTACGGATATGATATGTCACCACTGCGAATATTGCTTCGCCGATTTGCTCCTGAAATTCATGCAAAGCTGTTGTTCGGGAGTAAAATTAATGCGCCAATCTAGTGATTCGTTGCTTCAATAGGCTGCATATTAGCTGGGTGCACTCAAATAAAATCGTTGAAGGCGCTCTTAGTCATTTCTCTATTCTGAAAACACGCAGGTCCTGCATGTGCAGCCGGCGAAATATTTTTTATGTAAACATCGCGCAGTTAAGACTGCCTTCTTTCATGTTTTACAGTTTTTCTTCACAAAATCATTCATATGGACGTATAACACAACCAAAGGAACTGCCAGGACCTGCCAAGTGGACAGAGTCACGCACATAAACGATACTACAGTTACGTTCAAACGCTACTTCTACAACGTCTTCCACAGGAAGTATGCTGCATTATTGCCACTTTCAAAAATCACTAACGTCATCTATTTTTGCAGGATAATGATTCCATTGGAGGGAACATTATATTTTGACAGAAAAGACCTAATGATTGTTCGAGCACCAGGTAAAGGGAAGAGTTTAATTTACTCCATCTAATAGCATGTGAAAGAGGACAATATTAAGTACGTAAAAACTTGTGGAATGAAAAAACATTTGCCGTAGATACAAAATGCATGCCCACTTCGTTAGGTTCAGATTCCTGTAAAACGCATTTACGAAAAAATATTACTTTTAGAGTTGCTTGCGAAAGATGCAATTGCTTGATTTGTTACTTTGTACAATACTCCACGATTTCAGGTTGTGTTAGTAGGCCGTATTATAACAGCCGAAGTTTACACAGCATTCACACTTTTAAACTGAAGCTTCATTGATTACGAAAGGGTGTCTTGCATGATGAATACATTAACTTGACTCAGACAACCGTGCAATCCTCATGGAACTGCTGTGTGTCACACGGCCATGTTGACACCTTAGCATTGCGTGACCAATAAACAAAATTGTTATGCTCACGTACTTCAGCATCAGAGCTTTGTGCTGCAAGAACGAGGACGGAATCACTATTTTAGCAGTGTTTCGTTAGCTTGCATTTGATCACAAGTCACGTAGTTCATCGAGTAGCAATTAGTTATTTATTTCAACTGATGTATTATTTTGTGTCCATTGATTTGATTCGGTCAAAAGTTACAGGTTACTTAAAGCGTCTAAAGTGATTCAGAACTAGGTTCAGCATGCACATTTCATATTTTAGCAATATCAAGTCGGTTGTTGTGTTAGAAGGGACTGTCTACAGTCCTTCACTACTTTTTTATTTTGTGTCACAATAAAAAAACATATCACCTTAAGTGTCTAAACTAGAAGTGGTTTCTCCGGAAAATGTGAAAAATTTTTAAAGCAGGATTTTTCAATCTGTGTAGGTCTCCTTATATTGGTAGGATAAATGCCCTCAACACTTGTCAGTGGACGCGTTAACAATCGTACTGCCGGTGGAAATCGAAAACTGAAAGCCACATGTGGTTTTCACCGGCCTAATGAAGTTTTCGTTATTATAAACGCAAGTAATAACAAGTATAAAACCTAAAACTAAATTAAAAAGTAAGTAAAAAATACAGATGCAGGTGTGATCAATAGTGTGTAGACGAAATTATTGAGGTTTTTTACATCAGGTGAAGCAACGAAGTATGCATGAGCCAGCACTCGATGAAGCTTTGTCGTAAAAAAGCGAATATTTGGTCACCACTCACAACGATGTGATATGGAATCTGTAAAGGGCACGTTTCGTTACAGTGCAACCAAGGAAAAATCTATTACGTTTTCAGATTAAACGACGTGACCCCGTGACTTTTATAGTTTATATTTTGTTGCGTGTTACTGAATAAAAATAAAAGATTAGCTTCACCGTGCCCAAAGTCGGACGAAGAACAATCTTTTTTTTTCGCCTGGCATTACCATTGCAACATTCTTGTAAGAAAATCACAGACTTGCAACGCCGACGTAATTCCTTGCTAAGCAGACTGCAATAGGCTGTTGCAAATGTTTACCTGGAACGGCCCCCTGACTTAGTATTCTCATTAGAGATCATTCCTCAATAATTCTTCTAAAAGTGACATGTTGTGAATCTTCTTTATTAAATGTTTTATTAAACACCTAACTGAAGAGAAATGAGCGGGATTAACATGAATATCTCTCATGCGATATTGATTGTGTGCACAACTTCTGTGCGCTCTTGTTATCACTGCCTCCATCATATTCTCTTTATTGTTTATATCGGTAGCCTTGCCAAGTATAAGGTAACTAGGCATCAGTAAAAAGCAAAGCAAGCTGCCATTGAACGCAGCTGAACTGAAAAAAATTTGGCCCGAATTTGCATGTTACACTGCAAATGTCCTCGAAAGACGATAGTCTTGCGTCTGAAGAGAGTTAATAAAATGCTTATTTGATGTTATGCGCAAGAAAATCAGTTAATCGTAGTCTGTTGGCGCTGCGTTAGAGTGCCTCGAGCGTGTAGCGGAGGCGAACGAGCGCATCGAGACACGTTAGACACGAGCTCTATCTGGTAGTTATCTTATAAAACGAAGGAAGGTGTGCGCGCCTGTGGAGAAAGATGCGTGCCTTTCTCGGAGGTGATAAGATGTAGAACGCAAAGCGACGGGCAGGTGCCACCACCGTGTCGCCATAGTAAAGCGCTGGGAACATCTTTTGGAGCATCGTGTTGCACTGTCAGAGCAGGACGATAAACGCTACAGGCGTTAGAGTTACTTGTGTGTATCTCTTCTAGTATAAAGGCAGACGTACAAAACATAGAATTGTCATTATGGCGCCTCAGATATGCTCTATACTTGTTTTTTAATTGACAATCGCACAACTATGAACGCTAAACCTTGAGCAATATTGATGGGCGCTGCGGATGGAGTTGGTCATTCATTGCTGTTTGAGGTATCGTTCAGGGCAGACATGCAGACGAATGTACAGACAGACAGACAGACAGACAGATCAAAAAAGGTCCGCAAGAAAGACCATCATCTTTAATATGAAACGAGCTGGTCATATTGGCCGCGCTGTGGCCGTATGCGATAACATCTAACGTGCGAGGCCTGCTGTAGATTATTGCACAAACATAACGATTTTTCGCACAGCGATATAATCGGGATTGCGTGAAGGGAAGCACTAACATTCGAGTGTTTATTCACCTTATCCGACATCAAAACTGAATTCGTACACAAAATTCACCACTGGTATTGTGTACGAATATCCGCTATTCTGCAGTAAGGCGTTTGTCGGCCAGACGGAAAGGTGCGTCAGTAAGATTGCACGGGATTACGAGGTATTGCTAAAAAGTGAAAATGAAGCACATTTGCGGACACGCTGCAATTCTGAGAAGTGTGAGTCGTGCCTGAATAAAATTCAGAGTTCCGGCAGAATTAGTGACACCAGGGCTCAGGAATTGTTGGAGCCATTCCACGCGACGTTCCTTATGTGCATGCTAGTGATACGTCAGTGTCTCGATCACAGGCAGTGAGAAAGTGCTTAGACCGCACGTTGCGAATAGACTGGTACGCTCTCGATGTATGCCTAGCTTTTGATGAGGGACATGATGAATCAACAGTTGACAGTTTGGGTTTCCCTCGTTACCTTGTCGCGCAAAATAGCAATGTCTTGGGGCTAGTACACCAACCGAAGAGTACTTCGAGATTGCTGTAGGTTGTTTCTTAAGTGTAGAACAATCAACAGCACCCGTATTTCGTGAGGCGAAGGAACGTGAAGGGGGCGGGAGGGAAGGGAAGGTCACTCGGACCGCAGCAGTGAACTATCATTAAAAAGCCTTGTCGGCCGATGTAAGTAGTTGGCTCCCACCCTTGTACGTGATGTTCTCTTGGCGCTCACTTTGTGTTTAGAAAAGAAAACACGAAAAGCACTCCACTGCATAGAGCGATCACAATTTCATTCCAGTATTTTGCCGCTGAAAGAGGTCGTGTCATAAAAGATCAGAGGAAAGCCTTAGTTTTTATAACGCTGCATTATTTTGCTTTCTTATTCAGTGTTCACACTTGCGAAGAGACTATGGAGAAAAAGAGATAGAGAAAGGCTTAGTGAAAGGCAGGAACGCTAACCAGAAGAATATTATCACTTCGCCATCCTGTACTGGGGAAGAAAAAAGAGTATGCAAGGGTAAGGGGGAGAAAGAAAAGAGGATGAGTTAAAAGAAAAAGAGAATAGTGCACACGCTCAAGCATTAGAGGGTCATAATCGCTTTGAGAGTCCGGTTGACCGCAGAAACTACAGCAGCGCCTTCGTCGCGTTCTTTACTATTCCGAAAACGGAATAATTGTTCCAAAAGCAGCCAGTTGTCGAGCCGTGTTAACATTGACGCAAGTTATTGTCTTTATGAGCTACACTTAGGACAATCACAGAGAAAGTGGGCCGTGAAAAGCTTTCATGTAATGGTGTGGAGCTGCACTAACATCTCAAACATATAAATCATACTTCATGAAGTGCACGGGCAAATGAGCTGGTGGCACAACACTGCTAATGTTTAACTCGGCGGACTCTTCATAACTGTTTCAAAATACTTACCCTAAGAATCTAAAAAATATGTCGAGTAAGTAGATGTTTGGATTGTCGCATCACCAATAATCTTTTCACGAAAATACCTGGAAGAAGTCGCGAATGTTTGAACAAATAGGAATTCATTTCAGTGAGCGCATATGCGACAAATATTATTTTTGGAAGCGCACAGCGACAAGCTTTGCACAATGTTTGGCCGTTGAATGATATGCAAAACAGCTGCTTACATCGTTCAAGTTTTTGTAGTGTAAGCAGCAAATTGTTCATCATTATTGCATTGCTTTTCAGGTTACAAGTACAAAGAGGAACTTATATTTTATGACGCTCACTTTAAATGCGCCCTGATTAAAATAACAACGCCTTATAGAGGTTAGTGCACACCTTCGCATTATCTGTCAGGAGCTCTATAGATCGGTTTGTTTAAGAGTACTTCGCAAATGATATAGTTTCGACAAATTTGACATATGTAGTCATGGGCAATGAAACCTTGTTATAGTTCAAGACATTTCACCTTGTTATCGTCCGAGGCATAACTATAAGCATGAAACGGGGGCACAATGATCGTCGTACATTGATACAGAAGCCTACACAATCTTAGGCAACATGATCACGATCAGTAAGACGTAATATTGCTGGTATTGCGTAACAAAATTTTTTTTCATCTAGTAATTTTGAGGCGACGTTGTGTAGTGGTGCATAAGAGAGCTTTTCGACGGTATATTTTCTTAGATGCCTCCCGCAATCACAAGTAAACTTCGTGTTCGCGTTTCCGGGGCGTAATAACTAGATCACTAATGAGTTTATCGTAGCTGCGAATAATAGTTGGAGATAAGTCAATGCTCTCTTTATTCAGTGCGCTGTAAGCGTAACGATTGCATGAAATCAACACTTGTGCTTTTCTCGTTCGTAATTATTATAACAACCTGATCAAATTCAAAAATGTGCTTATTTAAATCTTTCCCGTAGATATAAACTAAAAATAAATTTCTGACAAGAAT